AATAACCCTCTGGATGATACAAATGAGTTCACAGGTCAGAATGGGTTAAGTAAAGTGCAAAAGTCCTATCTTGAGGTTGGAAGCATGAGCTTTACTGCTTTTAAAAGGGTAGGATTGTGGCTGTTCACAAACGTAGCCTTACTCTCCAAGGGAGATTATACAAAGAGAAAAGGAATTTTCATTTCCCTTTCAAAATGGAGGGTGGGAGTAGGTCCCTGCACAGGGCAGCAGGAAGAAGGAACATGGGGAAAGGATAGAATTAAGACCAGGAAGGCACCTAGGGGTTCAGCAAGCCACCTGTCCGTCAGGAAGGAGAGAGATGGCCATTGAGGCCCAGGAATGGGGAGCTCAGGGCAGCCTGATTTCTGTTTGTATAAGGCCAAAATCTGTCTCTGTCATTTCCAGCCACGGGTCTCATTTGTGACCTTTGGACCAATGGAGAATAATGGAGAATCCTTTCATCCACATGACAGGCCTTTAGAAATTTAAAAACAGTGTCCTCCTCCCCCTGTATCTTCCCTTTGTAAGGCTTTCAGGTGTCTCTCATTGGCCAGGATTTCCAGACCCAGAGTTATGGGATCTCTGAGTCAGAACAAACTTAGAGACATTGAGTCTGAGCTGCCATCTTGTAACATGAATGGATTCTTCAGCACACCTGAGCAGTGGTCCTCCAGTACCTGCTTCAAGAATTCCAGGGATGGGAAACCTGCTGCCTCCCAAGGCAGCTCCTCCCACCTTGGGACATCTGCCCTCATTTGGAGGTGACGCTGAGCTGGAGTCGGCCTTTTGGACAGTCGTGCCCTGTGTTGCTTACTCCATCCTCTAGGTCCACACAAAGTAAGCCTCTTCCCTCTTCTACATAACAGGCCTTCAGATCCTAGAAGAGAGCCCTTTATCTTCTCTTCTCCAGCTAAATATCCCCACTTCCTTCCCTGATTCTCTAAGGACATGATCTCAATCTTAGAGGTGACATGGTCTAGTAGCAAGAACACTAGAGTTGGAGAACCCGGGTTCAAATCCCACCTCTGACACTCACTATCTGGGTGACCCTAAACAAGCCTTTTAATCTCTCTTGGCCTCCATTCCTCCAGACCATCTCTCGTCTTGGGGTCTGGATACTAAGCTTGCCTTAATGTACACTAAGACCCCTCCCCTAAGACTCCAGAGCCCTCTAAGCTGTGCTTAAAATATGGTGCCACTTTTTACCTTTCTCAAAAAAGAAATCATGCATCATTAGCTATATTTTTGACTTCTTTCTTGGTTTCCCAGTCTGTCCACTTTGATTTCCCAAAGATGTCGGACCGTGGACTCTGGGCCACCTTGCAGTAAAGACAAACAGTGTGAGAGCCTTATGACTGTGAAGGAAATGGTCCTGTGCTGTTACATCTCTTATCTACACATGACTAAGTGGTAATTACACGGATTATTATCCTGTCTGGTTCCTGTATGCCTGTCAAGCAATGGCAGACAAGAGACCGTTGCTCATTCCTCATAGAAACTTCCTGCCAGAAGGGACCAGAGAGGTCGCCTAGTTCAACCAGGTAACACAAGGCTGAGTGGGGGGGGGGGGTAGGAGGCAGGGTGGGAAGGAGGGTAGAATCAGCCCCAGCTTTCTCTTGGCACCTTCTTCCAGAACCACCACTTCCCCCCACCCTGGACATCAGGATGGCTGTGTTTGGGAGGACCCCAAAGCTCCATTCTTCTATGAACCCAGAAACCTCCAGGAACATTGCACTAGCGGGCTCTCAGGACCAATTCCAACTTCAGCACACAAAAGTAGGCACGGGGGAGATAGAAAAATAAGGCGGCCTCCTTGGTGAGTGCTTTCAAACCTAGCCCTGTAGCCACAGTCACTGTTTAAAGAAAGCACACAGGCCCAGATACTGAGAATGATTAATGGATCAAGGTGACCAGTCAAATCCCCCAGCTCCGCCCCCAGCAGGTCCCCCAGGGACTCTCTGTTCATGGAGGCTAATTCATCTCAGTTTGATGAATAGCTCTATAATGAAGATAAAATATGAGATATTATCCATAGCTGGCGAGCCTGTATTGGGCCCTCATTCCTCATTTCTGGCCGCACTTGTGGGGTCCCTGGGCAGACCTGCAGCGGGCAGCTTTGTCCTAACCCACACAAGCCATTGGCAAGAATAAAGGACAGACGAGGAAAGAGATCCTCCTCAAAGTCTTAAAGATACCCCAGTTCACCAAAGCACAGCCTAGAGCCAGGGAGGCTCCAGGAACCTCGAGCCATTCTCCTGGAAACCTGATGCCCCAAGAGGCAGAGCTGCTGAATGCTGGTCCCCCACTCAGAGTGTCTGCAAGGCTCTCTTTAGAGGTGCAAAGCTGTGCCCCCTTCATAAGCTGACCACTGTAGCTCACACTGACCTTCCCTACACACACCATGATGACCTCCTAAAGCATGGCACACTGGAGTGGAAGGCACACAGGACTCGGGGGTCAGAAGACCTGCATTCAAGTCCGGACCCCAACTCTTACCACTCGTGTGACCTTAGCCAAGTCTCCTGACGTCTCTCAACCTCGGTTTTTTCCCTGGTAAAATGTGCTCCTCCTTGCTCTTCTCCAGATAGGCCCCCTGTTTTGAGGCAAGTTCTTTGTAAACCATAAGGTCCCACAGGGGAGATGCATTCTCCATATTGCTCAGTAAGCATTCACCCCACACAGGTATACATTTCATTGTCAGATGTGCTTTATGTATATCCACGCATTCAAAAACATCAAAGAAAGATCTACCACGTACAAGTCACTCTTCTTTCTTTTTAAAGTAACTCCTCTTCAATATAATTGGTTCCTTTGTACTCCTATGAATTTTATTTTATACATTCACCTGGCTGCTGAAACGTCCGTGACGCAAAGAAGGTTAAGAACCTCTGATTTAGGGGCAGTTAGGTGGTGCAATAGAAAGAGCACTGGCCCTGGAGTCAAGAGGACCCAAGGTCAAATCTGGCCTCAGCCACTTACTAGCTGTGTGATCCTGAGCAAGTCACTTAACCCTGGTTGCCAAAAAAAAAAAAAAAAAAAAAAAAACCACTGACTTAAATGCTCAAGGTATAAAGGCAATCAAAATAGAAGCTCTGTCCTCAAGGATCTTATATTCTTCTTGGGCGAAGGGGCAGGTCCACAGGGAAGTATAACACAAAGTCAAATGTGACAAAGCAGAGGAGAGAACCAGAGGGTTCTTGGAAAAACTGAAAAGAAAGATAATACTGTCTGCTGGGGGGCACAGGGCACATCCTGTGGGTTGGATCATGGAAGGGGCAAAAAATGACTGGATTCTTGGAGGAAGAGGAAGAAAGGAACAAAGGTTGGTAGATTCTGTGTCCCCCACAGCACCTCATATGCAGTAGGTGCTCAATAAATGTTGATCAACTGCATGTTCCTACTTTAAATAGCACCCATGCAGGACATGCCAATGAGCAAGTGAACCTGGCCATGGGTAACAGTTGTTCAAATTTCCAGGCAGGTTTTTCCATCACCTACAGTGAGTCCTGGGGAACTGAAGATGTCCAAGTTCTGAAATCTATTTGGGCCACCTACAATCCTCCTCCTTTTTTCAAGGTCCTGCCCAAATCCCACTCCTCTATGAAACCAACCTTGACTGCTCCAGCCAATAACACCGACTTCCCTGCTGCCAAGTAGGAATTCCTATCCTCAGTTCATTGGAGGCAGCCCAGGGTGGTGGCAAGAGTCCTGGGTTTACCATCAAAAAACCCAAGTTCAAGGCCAGATTAATATTTATGAGCCATGAGACCTTGGGCAAGTTATCTTCCTTCTCTGGGCCTCAGTTTCCTCCTCTGTCAAATAAGGTATTTGGGTTCTTCAAATGCCCTTCCAGCTCTAACCTTTTATGATCCTATGACCCTAGCATGAAGGGAGCCTGTGATCTCCTGTGTTTATTGCTGTGTTTCCTCTCTAGAAGTCATCTCCCCACCCTTACCCCCAAGGCACTGACATATAAGAGTTTAAGGCTGACCACATGCTTTACAAATGCCATCTTCACTTATTCTCACAATAAACCTGTGAGATATGTGCTGTAGGCATTAGCAGCGCCATTTTAGAGAATCGCAGCTCTGCTGCTGAATGGAACCCCAGAAGTCAGATAGTCTAACCCCCTCATTTTACAGAGGAAGAAACTGAGAAATGCAAAGCTTAAATGACCTGCCCACAATCACTCAGGAAGTAAACACCTATGCAGGACTTGAACGCAGGTCCTCTGCCTAATGTCAGTGCTCTTTCCTCTATATCAATCCTAGATATATACCATGCAGAGCCCAGGGAGCCCCTCACACCAAAGTCTCTGGGTCTGGGCTCAGGAGGACCCTGATTCCTCCTGGGGTAGTCTAACCACAAGTGAAGGGACAGGCTTTTTCTGTATCTCTGAAAGAAACTGATGTCCCTAGAAGTGAGCAAAGTAGCAATTTAAAGCTGATGTAAGGAAAAACACCCTATCAACAAAAACCATCCCAAAGTGGGATGCTCTGGGCTCCTTCCAATTACTGAGGGTCCATGCTTCCAATTTGGTGACTTGTCCAGGGTCACCCAGACTTTCTGATTCTACTTCTATTCAGTTGAATACAACAAGTATTTATTAAGAGCCAGGCATTATTGTGCTTGGTGCTGGGGATACCAGAGCAAAAATGAAGTCATCTTTGCCCTCCAGAAGCTTCCATTCTCCTGGTAGGAATCCAGGGTTCTTCCCCCACCCCAGCATCACGCTCTATGTTTTTCCATCCTCCACCCCACCCCACACACACACACACATTTAGTTCCAAGCAGAAAACAGGGCACACAACAAACACTTATTGACTTTCATGAGATTCTAAGCCTGCCACAGACTTCCTACTCAACCCATCTGCCAAAGCTGAGGGAAAGCTGAGGAAGAGTAACCATCCCCCACCCCTTGCCTTCCCACCCAACCCACCCCTTTCCATACCCCCCCATCCCTCCTAGAGAAAGGAGACATCTGGCTGGCCTCTCCTTACCTTGGCCCACACGCCCATGCCAAAGGAGTGACTTTCCGCCATCTGATGCAAGTATAGCTCTGTCCTGAAAGCATGGATGGAAGACAAGAGATGTGATTTCACAGCCTCAAAAACAAGTTTGTTCCTGAGACAAGGGTTTCTGTCCAAATATCATACTGACCATCTCTGCCTTGAAGAGTGCTTGAAACCCCTGAGGTGACCCAGGCTAGCATCTGGTGGATAATTAACCTCCCGGCCAAGTGCAGGGAGGGCCTGTACTGAGGGGCTTTCTCCAGGAACACGGTCTTTCTGGACTCCTCCCTCCCAAGGGCTGAGCTTTGAAAACTGTCAAGGAAGCATGGGATGTCCACATACTGGACTGGGGGCCCTGGGTTCTTGTCCTGGTTCTGCCCCTGACTTTAGCACAGCTGACTGGCTTTAGGCAGCGGACTTCTTCTCTCCCTGCCTCAGTTTTTCTCATCTGTTAAATGGGAGGTGGGAGTAAAGTAGATGCCTTCAGCAGTCCCTCCCAGATTTGTTGTTGGCGTCCAGGCATTTAGCCATGTCCAGTTCTTCACGACCCTGTGGACCATTTCATGCCAAGCCCTTCTGGCCTCCATGCTGGCCATGGGGTTTTCTTGGCAGAGATACTGGAGCAGTTTGCCGTTTCCTTCTCCAGTGGACCCCCTTTTGTCAGAACTCCCTGCTATGCCCTGTCCGTCTTGGATTTTCCAGCCTGGCATAGCTCCTAGTTTCATTGAGTTACACCAAGACAAGATGGTGATCCAGGAGGGGCTTCCAGATTTAAGATACTTTACTTATAAGCCAACAGACTGGAGAGAAGATCCTGGCTGATATAGAAGCTATTGAGATGTCTATAGTCCTCCAAGGTGAATCAGAAGTTTTAGGGTTTGGAGGGGTCTTAGAGACCTTCTATTGCCCATTTTACTGATGAGAAAACCGAGAGGTTACATGATTTTCCTGAGGTCACACCAGGAGTAAGAAGGATAGACGGGATTTGAACCCAGGTCCTCTAGCCTCCATGCCCAAGGCTCTTCCCATCAGACCCCAAGGCCTAAGGCCCAGTCAAGGTCAACAATCCAGTCACTGAACCACTCACTCATGAATCACTCCCCCAGGGGGCAATCTCACTCTAGTTTCCAAGAGGCAGTTTTGGGGTATGGGAGAGCCACCCATGTGGGGAAGAGGGAGAGAAAGAAAAAAGGGGGTCACAAAGAAGGAGCATTGAGGCTGAGATCGCACATTTAAAATGAGAAGGGCCTTCAGAGGCCCAATCCCTTTATTTTATAGGAGGGGAAACTGAGGCCTGGGGAGATTAAGGGACTTAGGGTCAAAGGATCACAGACCTAATTGGAAAGGACACTGGAGATACCCTCCGTGGGTTTTTAACCTAACCTGGAGAATCCATGAACTTGATAACTGCATCACAACATAATTGGTTTCTTTTGTAATCCTAATTGTTTTCTTTTGTGCATTTAAGAGCATTATTCTGAGAAGGGACCCATGAGATTTGCCAGACTGATTGCTGGAGGGGCCTACACACAATAAAAGGCTAAGAACACATGCTGTACTCCAACCTCATCATCTCCAGAGAGGGAAACTGAGGGAAACTGGTTAGGTGACTTGGGATCCTAGTCACAGATTCAGATTGGAAGGGACCTTAAAGGTCCTTTCATCCAACCCCTTCACTTTTCCAGAGAGGGAAACTGAGGCCCAGACAGGGGATATGACCTGGCTAAAGTCACACAGGTGATAGTAAGTGGGAGGGGCCGGGCTGCAGGTTGGGTTAGGTGACTTCCAGTCCCTTGTTCTGTCCACTGAACCCCACGACCTTGCCTCTGCTTTCCAGAGCGCTGAGGTCCCCCTGCTTTGGAGGGAGCCCCATCCTCCAGGTCTGGAGCTGAGCTCAGCCTCAGGTATGTCTCCCTCTGCTCTGGCTTGGCTGGCGGCCCACCCTGGGCACCCTCTCTAGTGCTGCTGGGGCGGGCTGGCGTGCTGGACCCAGGCCCCGAGCCAGGGCCTCCTGAAGTCTGCCTGCGGCTGCTCCTTCCCCCTGAAAGCCCACTTTGTTTCCTCTCTCAATGAGGATGTTACAGCTTCCGCTCCCACTCAGGGCTCTGTTGTGTTAGGAGACAATAGACGGGCCTAAAAGCGCAGGAAATCCAGGCTGCTGAGAGTGTGGAGGAGGGAGGGAGGGAGGGAGAGGGAGGTTCTTTCATGGAGGCTCAGCTCCCTCTTGAGGCCTGCCCAGCAGCACACTGGCCATCCCACCTCCAAAGGATTCAGCCCTCCCTCAGCGTCCCCACAGCCTTCGGCCTTCACCCTCCATGGCTGGAGCTGGCCACGGCCCAGAATCTGCCAGCCTGCCCCCCACAGATGCTCTGCGGACAAAGGGATCTTTGAGGAGCCCTATCAGCTGGCCCGGAGCACCCAGGCCACCTCCAGCAGACAATCTTTGTATTGGGGCTCCCAAGGGGCCAGCACCCACCAAGATGGACAGCAGAACCAGGGGCCAAAGCAAACATGAACAGCAAAGGAGATGGACCCCTTATGGGCACCAGAGCCAGGTACCAAGACTGACAGGAAGGAAATACACTCTCTGCAAACAGCTAAACATCCAAGCTGGGGCACAGAATCCCAGATGGTTTTACCTTAGAACGGAGAGTGCTAAAACTGGGAGGGGTCTCAGAACAGGGGATGTCAGAGCTGGGAGGGGCCTCAGAACAGGGGATGTCAGAGCTGGGAGGGGCCTTAGAATATGGAGTGTCAGAGCTGGGAGGGGCTTTAGAATAGGGGATGTCAGAAATGAGAGGGACCTTAGGACAGGGGATGTCAGAGCTGGGAGGGGCCTTAGAACATGAAGTGTCAGGGTTGGGAGGGGCCTTAGAACAGGGGATGGCAGAAATGGGAGGGACCTTAGAACTGAATGTCAAGGCTGGGAGGAGAGCAGCATGGTCTATAGATAGAGATCTGGACAAGAAGTTGGATTAGCTGAATTCAAATCCTACTTCAGGCACTTACAAGCTGTGTGACCTTCTGGGCCTCAGTTTCCACATCTGTAAAATGAGAGGATTGAACTCAGCCTCTGCATCCCTAGCAGTTCTATACCTTAGACCAGTGTCTGCAGTGGATCATTTCCCAAAAGCCCTCACAGTGAGGGGGGAAGGGCCTTCCAGGCCATCCCATGGCCAGTCCACATCAGAGCTGGTCCTCCCAGCCAGGTGCTCTGTCTCCGAGGTCAATGTCCTTCCCATGACATCCAGGGCCTCAGAAGGAGGCCTTTGTCCCTCTCTCATTCCCTCAGGCCTCAGTTCCCAGTGTCCTGCCAGCACATCCATGAATGTTGTTTTCTCATTGTTTAAACAAATCTTTAGACCTGAATGAAGAACTGTGGGAGCCACCTTGGAGACATGAATTAACCTCACTTATGCGCATGTGGTTTTTCCAGCTAGACAGACAACCCTGAGGACTGGGATTAGGTCTTCAGCTTTTTTTTTTTTTTTTTGAGTTTTTTGGCTTACAAAGCACTTTCCTCAAAACAACACCGAGAGGGAGATGGTGCAAGGATTATTAATCCCATTTTACAGATAAGGAAACTGAGGTCCAGAGAGGTTCAGTGACTCAGCCCAAGGTCACACAAGCAATAAGTAGCAGAGTCAGGATTCAAACCCACGCCACCTGACTCCTAAGCCAGGGCTCGGTCCACTGAGCTTTACTGCCTCCCTTCAGGGACAAACACCTCCCTTCCCTAAGCAATCATTTGGGATAGAGGGTTGACCAAAGGCAAACTGAGGCCTCCCCTACCTGGTGCCTGATTTCGTCCATGATAAAAACACACACCCACTCAAAGAAGATGACATCTGCCTGGCACATTAGACAGAGCACAGGATGGAGAGTCGGGGTACCTGAGTTCAAATCCCAGCTTCAAACATTACTGCCTGTTTGTGGCAGTTTCCTCATCTGTAAAATGAAGGGGGTGACCCAGATGACCTCTGAGGTCCCTTCCAGCTCCAAATCCTACGATCCCATAGAGAAAGGGAGTCCCTGGTGAGCCTTTGGCAAGCACCGCCCCGGCCCCATCCCATTGGGTAAGCAGGCATCCAGAGTCTTGTGTTTCTCACAGCCTCAGTTTCCTCCTCTGGAAAATGGCAGCTGCTGGGATGGGATAAAGTGGAGGTTTTTGGTTGAGATAAAATGTGTCATGTGTTCTAAACTTCTTAAAAAATACAGCAAGTAGATAGAAAACTACAAGGTGAGGTGAAAAAAATTAAGTCCAGCCCCACGGGAGGACAGAGCCCCTTCTAAACTAATAAAGGAAATAGGAAAATGAAGAGAATGTTTGGAGGTAGTTTCACGGCCCTCCCAGGCTGCCCACCAGTAGGGAAGTCTCTCCCAGGCGGGGACCCTGATCACACTCTGAGCTCCCCAGGAAATCCTGTCCACATCCCCAGCTACCCCTGGCTGTTAATGTTATAAGGAGATAGAAAGGCTTCCCTATGCTTCGTTATGCTCCAACCTATCCAGGAAAGTTAACAGCCTCTGCTAACGCTATTTTCCTATGCCCTTCATCCTTTTAAAAGGCAACTGGGTCTACGAGAAAGAACCCTGGCCTTAGACCCAGCTCCACAAATTAAAGCCAGGTCACCCTGAGCACATTTCTTTAAAAACCCTGGCTCTTGTAGTTTGAAGACCTGGGTTCAAATCTTATCTCTGACGTTAACTGCCCACATGGCCCTGTCACTTAACCTCCCTGGCCCTCAGTTTCCTCCTCTGTAAAACAGAAAAGCTGTATGCAATGGCTTTTGAGGTCATTTCCAACTCTGGACCTGTGATCTCTCTGAGCTTCAGTTTGCTCATCCATAAAATGGGAACAGCGAGCCCCCTGCTACAGAAGCATGAGCTGCATTGTTCTTGCTCCAGAGGAAGAGGGGAGTTCCCTCACCTGAGTACTGACATGGATTCCCAAAGAGCCCTGAGAAAAGACCTAAGAAAGTCTAGTGAGATATGGTTGCAAGCCATGATGGAAAAGACTGAAAAGATGGCGCTCTCCAGAGATGCTTAGCTGCCTCTCTCCCTCAAGCACAACCCAGACACTCATGGTGCCAGGGCCTCTGAAGTTGCCTGTATCATTGGGTCATAAAATTAGAGCTACACATTTAGGGATCAAACTGTCCACCTCCCTCATTTTACAGAAAAGGAAACTGACGCCTACATAGGTCAGTCAATCAACAAGCATTTACTCTGTGCCAGGTGTAGTGCTAAGTGCCCAGATACAAAGACAGGCTAAAATAGTTCCTGCCCTCAAGAGCTTCCACTCTCGGGAGGAACCAACATGTAAATGAGCTAAGTGACTTTCTCAAGATAAAGATCAGAGTCAAAGGTCAAATTCAAACTGATTGACTCCAAAGCCATTACCCTTTCTCGGGCACCAAGATGTTGACTATACCAACAAGCAAAAAGCCCTTCCTCCCCAGCCCCTTGCTCAACCCCAAAGCCTCCGGCCCTTTCCCAAGGGGGTCCTGCCTATTCCCTGGGAGCCAGGACACATTTGCAAACATGGCATTTCATTTTCATCTGGAATCTCTCCAATCCCTGGTCAGAGGGCAATGTTCTCCTCAGAGTATTCGGGAAGTACCTATCTGCCTCTCTCCAGCTCAAGCACCAAATCTAGCCAGCCACCTAGTTTGGGGAGAGAGCCAGTTATCAAAACAGACCTTCTGTAATCACAAAATGAGGCCTGATGCAAGAGGTCAGGCCCAGAAGAAAGAATCCTTCCTACAGTATTCATTCCTATCACAGCAAACTATTATAGCTGTATCAGAAAAAGGGAAAAAATGGACGAGCACTTTCCGGGTGAATTCATCTCTGGGCAGGAGAGCCTCCTACTGTGGGAAGCATGGGGCTAGACGAGATTGGATCACAGGGCTGGAGGATGGTGCTCGGGGGCTTTAGGCCAGGGCTCCTGATGAGGGGGCGGCCCCCTTCCCCATAGACCGGGGTTTCTGAAACGCTGATTACCATTTACCGAGGTCAGTTTGGAGAAGGAGCTAATGGAATCATCAGCAACCATTGTATGAGAGCCACAAACCAAGGGACATTGGGGGTGGGCCGAGGGGAGGGTGCCTTCTCTGATTGATTGTTTCTCCACTATGGTCAGTGGTGGGGACCCCACCAAGTCTGCTCACCCTCTGTAGGAATGAAGCTGCTTCTGTCTCTCCTGGTCCAGGAGATGGGGAAGGGAAAACGAGGCAGAGTAAGGGAGGAGAGGCAAGAGTCCACTCAACAAGTATTTATTCAGGTCCTACTATGTGCCAGGCACTGCACTAAGCTACGTTTCCACACACTATCATGTTCCATCTTCACAACAGCCCTGTGACAGAGATGGGGAAGGTCATCCCCATTTCACAGATGAGAATACAGAGGCCCACAAAAGATTCCATGGGAGAGACATAGCAGGTTAGAGCCTGACAAAAAGAAGGTTGACCAATCTTCATACACTTCCCTCTGCCTGGAATATTCCCCTTCCTCTGGCTCATTCCACAGGGCAAACCTGTCTCCCTCACTTTCCTTCAAAACCTGTCTCAAATCCCCCCTTCTCCAGGAAGCCTGCCAGGTGACTACACTCCATCGGGTTCTGTGCTTGCCATGGGGTATAGTGGAGACCAGTGGATTTGGGGCCACAAGACCTGAATTTCCATTTGGGCACCGGGCATTGCTGAGTGTTAACTACGTCATCTCGGGCAAATCACTTTCCACATCTGTGAAATGGGCATCCAATTACATCACAGGGAGAAACGATTTCACAGAACCAAGTCACAGAATCTCAGAGTAAGAAGGAACTTCAGAGGATAGCCAAGTCTCTCCCACACTGGAGAAAGGAATTCTCTCCACAACATCCCTGACCAAAAGTCCTGCAGCCTCATGCTTCCCACACTCCCAACTTAAGTATTCTCTTCTCTAGGCTCAACATCCCTAGTTACTCATCCTTACATGGCAGTCCAATCCAATGCACAGAATCAGAGAATTTACTTGTGGAAACAATATGGTCCAGTGCCACAGAGTTACAAGACCTGAGTTCAAATTCCACCACTGATATTTATGGCTTTTGTGACCTCAGGTAAGTCATTTCAACCTCCTGCGTCTCAGTTTCTTCCTCTGTAAAAATCAGATTGTATAATCCCATGATCTCAGTAGAATGGAGGCAGAAGCCGCTTTCCCTCTTGTCTTTATATCCAGAGCACATAGCTTGGTGCCTGGCACACAGTAGGTGCTCCATAAATGCTTACTGAATTGAATTAAATTGAATCAGATCTTAAAATTGGATGGGCTCAGAGGTCCGGACCCCTGCCAGATGCTGGCATCCCCTCCATGTCATCCGTGATGAGTGAGCCCTCCAGCTTCAGTTTGAAAAGCATTGGGTTTGGAATCTGAGGGCCTGGGTTCAAACCCTACCTTTGCCTGAGCGACCTGCTGGGCCATCTCACCCACGCCTGCCCTCCTCGTTCTCCCCAGGTCCACTATCTGGAGTTAGAGGACCTGAGTTCAAATTCTGCTTCCAATGCTTATTGCTTTGGGGACCTCAGGTAAAACACCTCACCTTTGTCAGCCTGTTTTCTAAAATGAAGGATCTGGACCAGATGGCCTCTGAAGACCAGAGGTATTGTGAAACTTGTCTTCCCCATGACCTCCATTAATAGTGACTCCTTCCTTTCAAAAGAGCAGCTCCCAGCAAACACTGAGGACGAGAGCAGTATCCAAGAGCAAGCACCCAATGCCCAGACCAGATCCCTGCTTCACCATTGTCCCCCTGCCCTGGGACTCCACACCTGTGGGATCTTACCTGGTATCAAGGTCCAGCCCGGCCAACATCTGGGAGAAAACAGCAAAGTTTCCCTCCCCTTCTGGCCGCTGGGCCACTCGGACTCTTTCCATTAGCATGGTCTAGAGAGACAGATGAGAGACTCAGAGACAGAGACGTTATCTCAGCATCATTCCCATGACCTCCCAAGGCACATTGTGTGGGAAAATAGAGACCGAGGTGCTAAGACATGGCTTAGACCAGGGCTCAGCCACCTGGACTGGTGTCCTAGCAAGGCTAAGGCACAGGCAGGGAAGGAGAAAGACCTTACCGCCTTGGTCCACTCTTCCTGACTAGAGGGTAAACAGCAGGTGAATACTCATGTCCCCCCACCAGTTGGAGGCCACCTTGGAATACACTGGTGAGGCCGTCATTGTTCACTTGTTCACTTATTCATTCATTCATTCATTCATTCCTCCTTCATTAAGTGTTTCCAACCTCCTCTCAGTGGCTCGTGACCGCCATACCACTGGGGACCTCACCTGATGCCCCTTTAACCCCCGGTCTAATCAGAGTCTCCTGCAGGGGCATCTCACTCAGACCTGCCCTCCCATCTCTTTACAGACCCTCTGGACTTTTGTCTCCTTTCAGGCAGCCCCCTGTCCTGTTCCCCATTCCTTGAGGAGGCAGGTGAAGTCAATAAACAAATTCAAGTTGAGATGTTAATAGCTAACACAGTCCTCGTGTGTTAATAACTTTTTTTTCCCCTTTTTATCAGAGGCTTTCAATGCCTCAGCCCAAAGAACTCACTTAAATCAGAATTTCAGGCTCCCTTAAAGGTATCAAGAAAGAGGAGGGATTGGGGGAGGGGAAAGCAGGGAACCATCCTTTCCAGGTTCAATATGGATGGTCCCCTACTCCATACAGAGGGTCACCCAGAGGCCTCATCTGCAACCTTAGCAGAGCTCTTATTCCTAGAGGCTCTTTCCTCTAGCCCTTCTTAGAACCTCATCCCCCGGTTCTGTTTCATCCAGAACATTTCTGGAGGGGAGGTCGGGGGCAGGGGAGACAGAACAAACAGGCCGCATGTTTCCCAAACACAGATTTGCCACAGAAGGCTAAGGGAACAACTGTCTAATTTCAGCTTTCACTTTTAAGATTCTGCTAATGAACTGCTGAATTATATATTTACTCATGAATATTTAATCCTTGCAATATTCAGAAGCACAGACAGGCCTGGGCATTTGCTCCTGAAAGAGATAAATTGGGTCACTGAGCAAGCCTCAGGAAGGAGCTGACATCTCCCATACCAGCCAGGGACAATTATGGTGACGGTGACGGTGGCAGGAACAGGGACCAGCTTGTTCCTGGGGTGCCCAGTCACACGGAAGAGGGGGAGTCCATGGGGCTGAGACCAGAACTCACCCGCGGGCTCTGTACCCCAGCCCGGCCCACCCCAACTGTGGCAGGGCCCTCACCTGGAGGTGGGCCGCCGTGACCCGGCCAGTAGCGCTGAAATCTAGGGACATGACCATGGAGAAGCGTGTGGAGCTGTGGCTGTGATCAGTCAGCACTGAGCCGAAGGCCCTGAGGATGGTGAAGGTGGCACAGATCTTCTCTGCTGCAAAAAGGCAACCCCCAGAAAGCACCGACTCACTCAGTGTTCCTTCCAAGCCCCTCTGGATGCCCCCCACTTCCTCCCTTCCATTTCCCCCCCTTCTCATGGTCCAGCCAAAATGACCTTCATACTGTTCCGCATCCACGGCATTTCCCAACTCCGCACCTTTGCATTGACTGTCCCCCATGCCTGGAATACCCTCCTCCCTCAACTCTACCTCTCAGAATACCTGGCTAACTTCAAGAAACAGCTCAGCTATTACCTTCTACACCAGGGATTCTTAAATAATTTCTGTATCCTGAACCCTTTTGACAATCTGGTGAAAAATATGGACTCCTCAGAATAAGACTTTTAAATAATTAAAAGAGACGCTAAATTTCTGTTAGAAGTCAGTGAAAATAAAGCTGTAATTTTTTTTCCCAATCACACTCACTAGTGCCTTCAAACCTGTCTACCTGCCATAGGATGCCACAAGGGCGTCCTGATGATCAAACGAGATAATATAAGTCAGTCAGATGGTCATTAAACATTTATTAACTCCCTACTATGTGCCAGGTACTGTGCAAAGCGCAAGGGGGAAAGATACTTTATAAACCTTAAATTGATATATAAAAGCTAACTATTATTACTAAGAGGGACACTGCCATCTCTTTAAACATACTCACCTATGTATACATATATGAACACATAACACAATACATGTGTGTGCATGCACACAATATATACATAAATTTATATACTTATATGAACATACATATGTACAAACATATACATATGTTTGGTGTGTATGTATACATGTGGGTTGCATTGTGTGTACATGTGTTTGCATGTGCCCATATACACCCTCAAACTTAAGCACGCCCCCCAACTCCATACACATACATATGCACCATGTCCACAAAGACACAGACTCTACCTGAGACCCGTCCATCCACGCTGCCAGCGCTGCCCACCAGGTATTCTAGGGCTCTCTCACAGCAAGTGCTTTTGCCAGACCCACTCCTGCCCAGGGGCACAATGGTTTGGTCCTGGCGCTGGCTCAGCATGGCCCAGTAGGCCTTCCAGGCTAAGGAGCAGATGTGGGGCACCAGGCCATCCCTCCTTCCTTTGGGCACCTGGGGGTGAAATTCCACACTGTATTAGCTCTTTCATTTAGGGGCAGAGGGAAGTAAGTCCTGAGGGAAAATAGATTTCCTAGGGTTTTCCCCCAAACTGGATCATCCCTGAAAGAATATGGCTCCATCAACACGTAGAGGCAAGAGGACCCAAGGTGAGGCCCCTCTAAGAGCAGACTCTCAGCTCCCTGACCCTGTACCCAACAGATCCCATTCAGGATGGCCCATGACTGCCTAGTCATGGGCAGGAGCCTCAGCTGGCTTGTGGCAGGGACCTCACCACCAGGACCCAGAACCTAGGTTTTCCCTTAATGTGAAGCTTTGAAATGATCTGGTCCCATTAGATTGTAAGCTCCTTGAGGGCAAGGATTATCCTTTGCCTCTTTTTCCATTCCCAACATTTAGCCCAGTGCCTGGCGCATAGTAGATGTTGAATGATGGATTGACCAATCTACTTAAAGCTAAAAACAAGCATGAGAAGCATTTGAAGGGGGGAGGGTGTGCAGTCACCAGAGCATCTCCTCTGCGGCTGTGCCCTGAGCCCCGCAGTCCTTGCCATCTGCCGTGCGGCCAAAGCCTCTTCCCTGTGGCATCTCCCACCGTTCCAGTGTGGGATCCTTGAGAGCAAGAACTACCTATCTTTCTGTTTTAATTCCCAGCATTTGCAGGAGGCTTGGCACAAAGTCAGTGCTTAATTTAATCCATGATTTTTCAAGTCAGAAGACCTGAATTCGAATTCCACTGGCTTACATGACCTTCGGTAAGTCACTAAATCCCTCTAGGCCCCATTTTCTCCATTTGTAAAATGAGGGGGGTTGCTCTACATGGCTTGTGAGGTTCCTTCCAACTCCAGGTCTCTGATTGACTTCCCTCCCAGGTTCCCAACAGTCATTACTCCACTGTAGAGTGGCCCTTGAGAGATAGGATAATGGTATGCTATGGCATCCTGCCAAGCCAGCAAGACAAATCCCCAGCAGGTCAAACCTCTGGGTAGGGGGCTCCGGGGTGGGTCAGGCCCCTGCTTCTATCTCTTCTAAGACCCAACAGGGCAGGTCCCTACCGCCATCCAGGAGAGCCCCACCTTCCCTGACTCACACCTCACACACTCTACCCACTTCCTCTTGGGTCCCATTTCATTCCCAGAGGTTCCAAAAGCAAGGGGCTATGCCCACTGGGAGCGCAGACCCCACTGCCTCCCCCAACCTGCTCCCCAAATCCTAGACCTACTTGTGGGTCTGTGCTGCCACCTGGTGGTCACAGAAAGCAAAACTGAGACTGTGGCCAGGAGAGGGAAGGATTAGCTTTTAAACCTCTAATCCTACGAGCTGTACACGTAGAAGGTGGTGAGGATGGACATAGATGGACATTAGCGGATGGAGTAATCACCTTCGTGAAACAGGAGCCCAATGGCACCCCAGCTGCTCAGGAGACCACAGCAATCTGATTTAGCACCTACGACGGCCACAGAGTTTATTTCCTCATCTATCAAATGGGGAGCATCGTTATTAGCTGAGTCCCAGAGGGATTGAGCAACTTGGCCGAGTAGGTAGACCCAAGCATTTATCTGGCCCATATTATGTTCCAGGCCCCGTGCTAAGCACTTCAAAAATGTAATCTCATTGGATTACGGGCAAAGCTGAGACTGGAACCCGGGTCAGAGAATCACAGAATTTCAGAACTGGATGTGACTTCAGAGCCCATAGAGTGCTGATAAGTAACCATCTATGTTGGAGGGAGCACTAATGGACAGGAGGTTCTCCCTGACACCAGACAGAACCTCATCCTCAAGGGGCCAAGCAGAACTCAGCTAATCCCCTGTAACAGCTTCCAAGCACTTGAAGGCAGCTGTCTGCCTCCCCAAGTCTTTCCTTCTCCAGGAATCCTGACTCCCAGGCCAGAGGTCTTCCCGTTCAATCAGAGTTTCTCTTAAAAATCACTGAGGTGTCCCCAAAGGGCTTTTCTTTATGAGGGCTAAATCTGTCTTCTTAGCATTATTACGAAGAGTTTTGACCTCGTGGACCCCCTCAAAGGGTGACCACACCTTGAGAATTGCTACCTTATATCATGTCACTTTCCTCAATGCCTACTTATCCAAGTTCCCAAGTCACCCGGGACAGATTGAATAGGACTTCTAGCCATAGCTACATCCTAGCTCTCCTTGGAGAGGAAGAGACAAGGCACTTAGCCCCCAGCCCTTGAATGGAAAACAGCATTGCCCTGGGCTCTCCCCAGCCTTGCATCTCTCTCTGAATTCGCAGGACTCTACACCCAAAGTTGAAAGGGACCTCACAGGCCATGGATCCCAATTCCCTCATTTTACAGATGAGGAAACTGAGGCCCAGGGACTTGAAGTGGTCTGCCCAAGATCACACAGAGAACAAACAGGATCGTAGAGTCCAGACTGGAAGGGACCTCAGAGCCCAAGTCCAATCCTCCCATCTCACAGATGAAGAAGTTGAAGCCAGATAAGTGAAATGACCCCCCCCCACCAATATGCAGTTCAGTATCTGGGATGGAACCTCCTTGCAAGCCTTCCCACAGCTACAGAAATGAAAACTATTCACATTTTTATTGTTATTATAGAAGGCACTGAATAAATATATATTAAATGAACAAATTAAATTTAATCCAATATACACTTGTTGAGTACCTATTGCAGATGAGGCTCTGTGTTAGGAGTTAAGGACTCAAAGAAAATTGCCCCTGCCTTCAAGGTGCTTATATTCAATTCAGTGGATGAACACATATTAGCAGAGGCCCTCCCCAATAACCCCCAGTCTTCCTCCCCACCCCCAGCCAAGCCCCATGGGCACCTTACCTTCCACGACAAAGGAACTGGGGCACCCTGGGGCTGGAGGAAGATCAGGTCTGGTCCTGTGTACGTGTGCAGGAGCTGGGCCTGGTATCGGTGCTGAAGCGTATTCAGGACGCTGGACTCATTGAGGCTCTGCAGCGAGGCTAGGTTCTCGGCCAGATCCAGCTCCGGGGGGTTGGCCTAGGAGGGTCCCCCAGTTAGCCACTGTGGGCTCCCTCCGCCGTGGGGGCCTCCGGGGTGGAAGGCCACGAGACACACACTGAACGGCTAGGAAAGGACGCTAAGGCCTGTGGTCAGCGGACTCCGTGGGCCCAGATACAGGGGAACATCAAAGACCCGACATAAATGAAAGGCACAGAGAGACATGCACCCCCAGGGAACTCTCGCCATTAGTCAGTTCTGCTTGATCTGGCATTCACAGAATTGTAGTTTGCTCTAGCTGGAGGGGACTTTAGAAGTCCTAACTGTAACCAGCTCCTCCTGCAGAGCCACAGTGTAATGATAATGGATGTGATGCTGAGGCCCTACAGGTAGGAGCCTAAGTGCCCTCTGAATCCTCAGAAGGAGATTAAATATGTACCATCCCATCCATCCTTCATTCTGGGGCAAGGCATCAGTCACCCTCACTACTCACAACACCCCAAACATGAGTTCAGATATGGCCTCAGACACTTCCTAGCTGTGTGACCCTGGGCAAGTCACTAACCACTATTTGCCTCAGTTTTCTCATCTGTAAAATGGACATAATAATAATATCACTTCTCTCCCAGGGTTGTTGTGAGGATCAAATGATGTAGTAATTGTTATCTTATATGAAAGTCAGCATCGGGGAAATAGGGCCCTGAACTTGGGGTCAGGAGTTCAAATCCTGACTCAGGCACTTACTAGCTATGTGTCCCTAAGCAAATCACTCAAAAAATCTCTATGCCTCAGTTTCCCCCTCTGTAAAATGACCTCGGAGGTCCCTTCTAGTCTCGGTCTATGATTCTGTGAACACCATATGGGAGAATACAGCTACCTTCAGTGACATGACTGCAGTCAGGATTAGTCTCAGACATATCTGAGTAGTCCGGTACGCATCTAGAATTCAATAAAATTTCTAGATCTTTCTAGGGCCTTTTTATATTTTCTTCCCGCACCACATCTCAGAGTCATGTGTTCTCTAAGATAAAGAGCTCACTTTCTGGATAAAAGTCATGGTCAGACTCGGGGGCCTGTCTCAGAGTCTGTGGCACTGTGATCCTCCCCTGGTCACTGGACCCTCCAAGGGAGAAGGCCATTGGCAGACCTTCCGACTTCATGTGGTGGAGACAGGATTGGTCTAAGGGGGAGGCAGAACAGGATGGAGGGGCCAGGCAAAAAGCCTCCCCATGCGGTTGGGGTTTCTGGAGGGATGCTCCCCCTCACAATTAGAGAGGTCCTTATGGAGACAGAGAATCAGGGAGCAGGGCCTGGAACTGGGGGGACTTACACGGTGAATGTTCTCCTCATCCACTTCGGTGATGGATTTGTCCGCATCAATGCAAAGTCTCACTCGCCCTGCAGCCAACTCTGGGGTGCCCACGTCTGGCTTCAGCACCGTCGCTAAGAGGAGAGCCCCCCAGGAAAGGAATACTGGGTCATGGTATTGCACATACACAGAGACAGGGGAGGTTTGGGGGCGGTGACGGGGTAGGGGACACAAGGGATGTCTGAGGAAGGGGTGGATAATGCTCACTTCTGCCCCCTAGGGCCTAGTCACATCAGCTTGGATGAAATGATATGCATGGAATCCTAGAACCCAGAGCTGTGAGGGATCTCAGAACATGAAGTTTCAGGGCAGGGAGAGAACTTAGAACCTGAAAGAGCCAGAAGGGGCCTTAGAACATGGAATGGCAAAGCTAAGAGGGGCCTTAGAACAGAGAATGTCAGAGCTGGGAGAGGCCTTAGAACAGGGAATATCAGAAGTGTTTGAGACATTGGAAATCATTTAGTCCAAATCCCTTATCTGACAGCTGTGGACACTGAGACCCAGAAGGGAGACGTTGCTTGCCCAAGGTCACATGGGTAGCAAGGCACAAAGCTATGGGTGAGGGGGTTCCCAGGGGCCCAAGCCCACAAATTACCCAGTGTGAATCCTTCCTTCTGAACCAGCCAGACTTTCTCAGCTTCATACCATCTGTCCTCCACTTCCTGGGCACAAAGACAATGAAATAAGGGGGGAAATATAGCAATCAAGCAAGTCAAAAGATTTTAATAGCTAACATTTCCATAGCATTCACTCTGTGCCCGTCACTGTGCTAAGCACTTTACCCACACTATCTCCTTTGATCCTCACAACAACCCTGGCAGGTAGGTGCTATTATAATGCCCATTTTACAGATGAAGAAACTGGGGCTTACAGAGGTAAGAGACTTGACCAGGGTTATACAACTACTAAGTATCTGAGGCAGAAATTGAACTCAGGTCTTCCTCCAAGCCTGGCACCCTATCCACTGCCACCTATATCTCTTTCTTCAGGAACTCAAACTCAAGTCCTCCCTTATTAGGAATGTTTTAGATGTGGTAGAAATGTGTATTATTTTTTGTTCGTTGATTTATATCAGTTCAATTTTATGGTCAAATTTGGGAACTGCCAAGTATGCCCTCTTCTGGTACAAACACAGAGAGAGAGAGAGAGAGAGAGACAGAGAGGGAGAGAGAGAGAAAGAAAGAAAAAATCAAAGAGCTTCCTAGATTAGGTGCCTTTGAGTTGGTCAAAGTAGGGGCAGCATCAGAGGACAGAAGTGAGTGTATGAAAGAGATGCAGCACAGGTGAAATTGACAAGAGATGCTAAAAGGTGAAATTGATGAGAGATACTGAGAGGTTAAATTGATGAGAGATGCTACAAAGGTGAAATCAACAGGCCTTGGCACCATCTTGGATCTGGGAGGTCAGAGATAGGGAGGAGTCCAAGCTGACTCCTAGGTTGTGAGTCTGAGGAGCTAGGAGGACGCTCTACATTAATAGGGAAGGTAGAAGATGAGGAGGGTTTCAGGGGAAAGATAAATAGTTCTGTTTTGGACATATTGATTTTAAGATGTCTACTAGACCCATAGTTCGAGATGTCCGAAAGGCAGTTAGACACGGGAGATTGGAGGTCAGCAGAGAGATTGGGGCAAGAAAAGTATATTTTAGACTCATCAGTATAAATAATCTCTAATATTCTAAGCTTTGGAGCAGGTGCAGATCTGCGATGGCCAATGAAATCAGGGTTTTGACCATATGTGTGTATTAATATATATACACATACATACATATATGTGTATGTGCATGCCATGTGTACACATATATGTATATACATATATGCTTTTATACACATATATATACACACATATAAATAGTTTTTATTTTTGTGGGGATTTTTTGGACTGGACTTAAAATTTCATGGCTTTAGGGGACTCCCAAGTGCAGAAACTCCTTCTCCCCTGCTAATCAGTCTTCTAACTTGAGAGCTTGTAGGGCCCTGATGAGTTAAGTGACTTTCCAGGGGCCTCAGTGTGTATCAGAGGTGGCACCTGAACCTGGCTCTCTCTACCCTGACTGCTATCCGCCATGCCATGTTGACATGACCTACCCAATATAAGTTGGCTGTGGTCCATTGGCAATGATGACTTTCCCACCAGGCACATTGTGAAAGATCCTAGAGATGTGCCCAGAAGAGGAGGTGGGCTGGTCAGGTTGCAAGGGTGAGGGAAGATACTGGCCAGCCTGAGTGCTTGCACAGCCACCCACCACACCTTCCGCTATTCACATAGCCCCTCTATAGTGAGGCAAGGACAAGGAATACCGTATGAGAAGTGGATGAGTTTGGGTTTGCTGTGGTGGACAGAGTGCCCAAAGTAATAATACCATAGGATGACCCAGAGCAAGAAGGAACCTCAGCGGCCATCAGGCCCAATTCCTTTCTTTTAAAGATGAGGAAACTGAAACAGAGGTCAAGTGACTTGTCCAGGATCACACAGTCTTCCTAACTCCAATTCCAATGTCTTAGATACTGTCATGCATCAAAGTCTAATTTACCACCCCTGACATCTTACATTTGTGGGTGGGTATTCCACATTGGGGAGGGCATTCCATAACCCTTGTAGACTCTGGGCTCTAAATGTAATGGGTCAGGCATCAGGGCTGGACCACCTCAGGAACTTCTCAGCCTTAAGTCCCATGGCCTAGTGACTCCTCTGAATGTTTTATTCCCAGCATGGAAGGAGGAAGCAAGGACCTGAACTGGAAATGTTTTCCAGAGACGTGACGTTCCATGGATGCTCCCAGACTATCAGCTGGGAGTAGTCAACTTCTTGAGGCTGCCCTTCTCCCTTCTCCTCCCCTTCCTCCCCCTCCTACTTCTCCTCCTCCCTCCTCCTCTTCCTCCTCTTCTAGAGATCCAAACAGGGGTTGTCTCCAAGCCCCCGAAGCCCCACCCACCTCCTCAAGAAACCTTGCCCAGCTTGCCATGACTTTCATAGAAAAGAGCTACTCTGTTCTTTCCAGGGTAAGTGGCTTCCTCTCCCCTTGCCCCTCCCCACCCCAGATTCTGCACCTTTCCCCACCCCCACCCTAGCCATTCAGCATTCCCAGGTATGGCAGCATCCTCACCTTGTCTGGGTCGACACTTTGGCCTCTCTCTCCCTCCGCCTTCTCTTCCTCCTCCATCCTCACCGGGGCTTCTTTGGTCTCCTCCTCTTTATCAGGTGCACCTCCCTCCTTCTCAGTGGTGGGAGATCCATGGCCCTCCTTTCCTTCTTTGAGAGCTTCACTCCCACTTCCTTCCCTTCGGGAGGAGTCATCTTCCTTCCTGTCTTTGCTTTGGAGACCACTCCTCTTCTCATCCTTCCCCACCTGACTCTGGGACCCATACTTCTTCTCTATCTGACTTTGGGGTCCACTTTCCTTCCCCCCCTGACTTTGGGGCTCACTATCCTTCTTCAACTGGGTTTGAGATTCAATGTCCTTCCTCGCCTGACTCTGGGACTCGCTCCTCTTTCTCCATTTGTTCAGACCCCATTTTTTCATCTGGATGTGGGCTCTGTCTCCCTTTCCTGCTTTGCTTTGGGCCTCCTTCCCTGTCCCCATTGTGTCCTTAGGGTGATCTGCCTTTCCTGGCTTGCTTTGGGCCTCATCCCCTGACTCTCCTTTTGTGTGGGGTTGGCCCTCCCCCTTTATTTGGGGTATTTGTGCTTTGTCCTCCTTTGTCCCTTTCACTTCAGCCTCACCTCCCTGCTCTTCCCCTTCGGTGTGGGGCTTGGTCCCCAGGTCCTCTTTATTCTGGGGCTCACCCCCTATTAGCCCCTTGGTCTGGGGCACCTTGCCACACTCGCCCACTTTGATCTGAGGCCCTTCACTCTTCTTGGGAGGCATGTCTGTGGAGCCTTGGCTGCCTACTGTCCTCAGTTTCTCCACCTTTTTGGCAGAGTCCTCAGTAGCTTTCTGTGGATCACAAGTGTCTCCTGGAGGTTGCCCTTTCTTCTCCCCCTTCAGCCCTGGAATGGAGGAAGGAGGCTTATGGATAGGAGAGTCAACTGGGTGAGTCCTCTGCTCTGGCTTGGGTAATTCTGAATTGAGCTTGGCCACCATCAGCAGCACATCGCTGGTCTTCCTGGTCCTCTTGAGGGGCTGCGGCTTCCTCGGAGGGGTCTCCATGGTGTCCTTGCCTTGAGAGTTTTCTCCATTTATGCTGCTCATCAGCACCGGCTCTGGGCTGGCCATCCCTTCCTTCTCATTAGGAATGTTCTCGATAACAATGCTGGGGCTGGGGGATGCTGGGTCAGGCTGGCCACCCTGGGGACTCTGCGACCCGGAGGGGTTATGGCTCCTCTGGACAGGGCTGTCACTATTTTCTGGAGCCTAGGAGAGAAAACAATATCCAGTTAGATTTTGCATTAGGACCAGACTGAACAGAATCTTCCTAACCTCCTAGTACAGAGGTCCTCAAACTTTTTTGGTCTCAGGGACCCCTCTACACCCTTAAAAATTATTAAGGACCCCAAAGAGCTTTTCTTTAGATAAGTTATATCTAACCATATTTGCTCTATTAGAAAGTAGAGCCTATACATTTTAAACTGTTTCTTAATTCACTTAAAAACAAAAATAATAAATCCATTATTCATTAACATAGATAACATATTTTAAAATGAAAAATAACTCCATGTTCCTACTATTTTTGCCAGGCACTGTGCTAAGTAATGAGCGTACAAAGAAAATTAAATACTTGTTGACTGATTAAAAAAATCAGGGGCCTGGTTTTTTTCAATCTACTTTTGGAAATCTCTTTAATGTCTGTCTTAATAAAACACAGCTGGATTCTCCTATATGCTTCTGCATTCAATCTTTTGCAATTTGTTGTTCTGGTGGAGGCATGTAAAGAAAACTTAGCTTCCCACAGATATGTAGTGGGGAAAAGGGAAGTGCATTTCAGCAGACAAATAACCTCTTGGTATTGTAATGAAAACAGTTTTCATTTTGGGCCCCCAGATCACACACTTTGAAAATCACTGCCTTAGTTGATTATAAGCTCTAGCAGAGGAGAGACTTTTTTTTTTGTTAGTGTCTTTGTCTCAGTGTAATGGACAGGATAAGAACTGACTTCAAGTCAGGAAGACCTGACATTTACTAGCAATGTGATCTTGAGAAAGTCATTGAACCACTTTGCTTGTTTGTAAAATGGGGACAATAGAACCTAACTTACAGGGTGGTTGTGAAGAGCAAATGAGATTTTTGTTGTTGTTGTTGTTATCAAGTCATTTTTCATTCACGTCTGACTCTTTATGACCCCTTCTGGGGTTTTCTTGGCAAAGATACTGAAGTGGTTCACCATTTCCTTCTCTAGCTCATTTTACAGATGAGTAAACTGAGGCAATCAGGGTTAAGCGACTTGCCCAAGATCACATAGCTACGAAGTGTCTGGAGCTGGATTTGAACTCACGAAGATGAGTCTTCCTGACTCCAAGCCCCAGCGCTCTATCCACTGATCAGGTAGCTGCCCCTCAAATGAGATTAAGGTGTGTAAAATGTTATGTAAAAACTAGCTATTAAAGCTGTTATTGTTCTTCTTGTTATCCGAAGTACCCAGTAGAGTGCTGGGCACATAGTAGGGCCTTAATCAAAGAGCATTTACTGAGCATATACTGTGTGCCAAGCACCTGCTAGGTGCTGGAGATACAAAGATAAAGACAAGATAGTTCCTGCCCTCAAGTAGTTTTCATTCTCTTGGTGGAGACCACTTGTACAAACATAGCAATAGACAAAATCGATAAAAGTTGAGGACATCAGCAGCCGAGAGAATCAGGAAAGCCTTCTTGAAGAAGGTGGCACAAGCTTAATTTTCAAGAAAGTAAGGGATTCTAAGAAATGGAGAGAAGTAGGGAGGGCATCCCAGGCAGGGTGCACAGCCAGTGCAATGTCACAGAGATGGGAGATGGAGGGTCATGTATGAGCGACAGCAAGAAAGCCACTTTGACTATGTCATGGTAGGTTAGGACCAGGTTGTAAAGAACTTTAAATACCCGTTGAACTGACCTGTGATGCAGACTCTTGTGGGAGGTTGTAGCTTGGGTTATTGAATTGAATTGAATTGAATTGAATTGGAGAGAGTCTGGTCAGCAGGGCATGATCTGACTTTTCTCTGTCTTGGTCATAGCCCCTGCTCAAAAATCTTCAGCGGCTTCCAATTACCTGTAGGACATTGTCCCACTTTATGGATCAGCATTGGCACCATGACTCCTTATCACGGGGATACTGTGCCTTCACCTGTCCCTGAGATATGTGGCTGGCCACTTCAGCCTTGATAACTGGGGATCCCCAACCCCTCTGCCTGGTTCTTTCCAATACCCCATGGCTGACTCAGCCATGGTCTCTTACTAAAGCACCATTCTAACCATGGTGCTCCTCTGCTCTGCTCAATAGACTGCAATGGTTCCCTATTATCTCCAGGGTCAAACAGAAAACCCTGTGTTTGGCTTCTCAAGCCCTTTATAACCTGGCTCCTTCCTATGGCTCTAGGACACTTACAATTCACTCCCCTGCACACACTCTATGATTCAGCCACACTGGGATCCCTCGCCCTGAACACTTGATCTCTTGTCTCTGTGCATTTGCAATTATGTAATACCTTTAAGTTTACAAAACAGTCTACAAGTATCATCTCAATCGGCTCTTGCAATAACCCTGTGAGGAGGGTGTCATTGTTACCCCTATTCTATAGATGAGGAAACTGGCATTCACAGAGGTTAAGGGACTTCCCCCATGCCAGGAGCGCTCTCCCTGCCAGCCTCCCACTCTCAGAATCCTGGGCTTCCTTTAAGACTTAGCCCAAGCTTCCCCTCCTCCAGGAGGTCTTTCATGCCCACCCCACCCCACCCCTAGCTTCCAATGCCTTCTCCTCCAAGACTCCCATCCACCAGCTGAGTATATATCCCATATGAATGCAGCTGTTGGCATGATATTAGAATGTAAACTCCCAGAGGGCAGGAACTGCCTTTGCCTCTCTCAGCACTCCCAATGATGAGCACCGTGTCCAGTGCATAGTATGTCCTTGTTCATTGATGACTGATTCACTGCCTCGAATTTCCCTTTTGGTAAATGGCAAATGTATTCTATTGCACATCATTCCCTGGGCCTGATCATGGGCTGAAAGGACTGAAGATCCTGCCGGAGCTTTTCCCCAGGAGGCACTCCCATATCCTCTCCTACCCTGAGGCTGGACTGAAATACAGACTTGGGAAAAGACATGAATTGATTTTAGCTGCACTGTCTTAAAAAGTCAAGTGGCCATTTCTTAAGCAGCCTGCTGAACCTGGAATCAGAAAGTTTGGAGTTCAAATCAGTTTCTTACCCTTACTAGCTGTGAGACTCTTGGCAAAGTCACTTAAACGAGGCCTCAGTTTCCTCATCTATAAAATGGGGATTATAATACTTATAGCACCTTTCTCAAGGGAATTATAAGATCATAGAATCAGAGCTGGAAAGTACTTTAAAGGTCATCTCCAGGGTTTATGGCCTGGGGCTGTTGAACTTGTTTTAAAAAATATTTTTAACTATATTTCAATATAACTGTTTTTTTGGAATCTTCTATATTTTATTTATGCATTTAATAATAGGATTCTGAGAAAGGGTCCACAAGCTTCACCAGAATAACCTCTCAAGGGTCCGTGACACCCAAAAGGTTAAACAGCCCTGATGTGGGCCAGCCCCTTCATTGTATGTCCCACTTTTTTTTTTGGTTGGGCAATGGAGGTTAAGTGACTTGCCCAAGGTCACACAGCTAGTACGTGTTATGTGTCTGAAGCCAGATTTGAACTCAGGTCCTCCTGAATCCAGAGTCGGTGCTCTATCCACTGTGCCACCTAGATGCCCCCTAGGCCCTTCATTGTACAGAGGAGGAAACTGCGGTCCAATGTCACATTGCTACATAGTGGCAGTGTGAGAAGGCCCCTCCAGTCCAATGAATGATCTCTTCATTAAATCACACTACTAACCATCCAAATTCAATCTAAAATATTTATTCATACATCTAACGTGCAAAGTACCAAGCAAAGACCAAATAAATAAATAAAGCAATCCTGATCTCAAGATTCTTATCTTCTCTGGAGGATGCACCATGTAAACAGTCAGTCAATAAACATTTATTAAGCACCTACTGTGTGCTAGGCATTGCGCTAAGTGCTGGGGATACAAAAAGAGGCAAAAGACCATCCCTGCTTTCGTCCTGTCTGTAAATAGCCTCAAGATGGCACCAAGCTGGGCTCCATCTTGCCTGGGCCCAGGCCTTCCTGTAGTCTTCTCACCATGGCCCCATTATCCACCCATTTCTACCTCACTTGGGCTCCACCCCTGGCTCTGATAGGGGAGCCTTTTACTATCTGGTTGGAAGCTGGGCTTCCACAGGGCTTTCCTCATATATTATCTTCCCCAACTAGAGGATAAAGTCTTTGAAGGCAGGGATCTATCTAGCATGCTTTTTGTTGTCTCTCTCCATCACTTAGCCCAGGCTCGGACACAAATGCTTTCTTTATCTCACTAGCTGGTCACTGTCCAACCCTCTCCACTGAAGCCGCCTTAATTAAGTACCCACTTCAATCAAAATTCCAAGTCTCATGGACGGAAGTGACCTTGGGCCTTGGAAAGCAGTGCCAGCCGAGCACGAGCTCTGGCAATTCCTGAGAGAGCTGGCAAGTTATTCTAATGATCATCCCTCCGGTCATCAGGGCAGGCTGGTGAGAATCTGGATGTCTGTCATCTAGGGACCAGGCTGGTCAAATTAGAGAGACTTAGCACCAGGTTGGTGCAGAGGGCGGAACCAGGGGCAAGAAGCCAACTTAGGCTTCCCAGCAACGAGAGCCATCCCAGCTGGTGGGGGTGACCTCGGGAGGTGGGGGGCTCCCCCAGTCTGAGGTCTCCAAGCAGCAGCTGGGTGACGATTTGTCAGGGACCTTAAAACGAGGCTTCATTTCAGTTATAAGTAGGACTAGATCAGGGGTGGGGAACCTGCGGCCTCGAGGTCACATGTGGCCCTCCGTGTTTTACAAAACAAATCCTTTCATTGAGGGGATTTGTTCTATGAAGTTTGGATTCAGTCAGAGGGCCACACTTGAGGACCTAGAGGGCCACATGTGGCCTCAAGGCTGCAGGTTCCCCACTCCTGGACTAGATGATTGCTGAGCACCCAAAGCTAGATCCAGGACCCCATGAATCTAAGACCCTGGAGTGACTGCTATGTGATTTACTGTACTTCCCCCTCATACTGAGATGTAGGTGTCCTGCTTCCAGCCCTTAACCAACCTACGGAAGGCATCCCTCGGAACGCCCATTGGGTACCATGCCTGGCCCAGCCCATGGTCAGAAGATGCCTCTCACTGAAGGCCTGGTGGTGGTGTTTTCCCAACATTTATGTAAATGTTACTTTGGATTTGGGCTCTCCTAACCTCCTCCTTGTCAGAAAGTCAGACTCCATCCAGGTAAGCAGCCCGGGCTCTGATAAGTGAAGTTTTACCCATTTCTTACCTAGAACAGAGCTTCCATGACACTCCCTGGTGTCTCTGTCACTCTCTCTGTCTCTGTGTCTCTGTTTCTCTCTCTGTCTTTCTCTGTCTCTCTGTCTCTCTGTCTCTCTCTCTCTGTGTCTCTCTCTCGTCTTTCTGTCTTTCTCTTTCTCTGTCTGTCTCTCTCTCTCTCTCTCTCTCTCTCACACACACACACACACACACACACACACACAGAGGCAAGTACACAACACACACCTTGGAGGATAGGGATACAGATAGGAACCAGACCTGTGCTTTCCTGATATAGGAAACTACAGAGTCATCCAGCAAATATGTGTCAGAAGCGAGACTTGAACCCAGGTCTGCTTACCTCTGAGAGCAGCCCTCTAGGCACCCTAGCTGCTTCTCAATCCTCCTTGGGCAACTTGGTGACTCCATAGTGTACAAGGCCCTGGGCCTGGAACCAGCAAGACCTGAGTTCAGATTCAGCCTCAGACACTTCCTGGGTAAGTCCCTTAACCTCTATGAATGCCAGTTTCCTCATCTATAGAATAGAGGTAACAATGACACCTCCCTCACAGGGTTATTGCAAGAGTTAAATGTGATGATACTTGTAGAGTGTTTAGTAAACCCAAAGGTATTATATAAAGGCAAACTACTGTTATCAATATTTTCTGTAAAAATGGAGCTATCTCCTCCCAACAGTTGCTCTGAGGCTCAAATAAAGTAACAGCTACAGAAGTGCTTTCTACTTTCTACAAGGGGTCCTGGTCATTTCACGGGCACAAGCCAGCTGGACCCACAAGGCTGGTGGCCCTCCTCGGCAGGAGCTGATCCCTTCACTGCCCACCCCCTACACCTATTGGGATCTATATTCCAGCATGCCCAAGTCTCAGTTCTGGGCCATAAGTGAGGCCCATGACGTGCTTGGGGCAGCGTTTTCATGTCTGGGACTGCCTGGAAACTCAGCCCCCCTGGCTGCCCTTCACCCCCCTCCCAGAGAGCCACACTAGAACATCAGTGGCTTTCATGGATCATGGGAACAGAAGACTGTCAGCTGACAGGGACCTCTGGGACTGCCCTCCCGGCAAAAAGTGGTCCTCCATGCTTTGCCTGAAGACTTATCCTAATGGGTCACTCAGGACCGTAGGTGCTAAGGCACAGCTCTGTTCTTGGCAAGCTTCTCCTGCCTTCCAGCTGAAATCTGCCTTCCTCTGCGCCCCATTACTCCCGGCTCTGCCTCTGGGGCCAAGTCGCTTCTGAGACCTTCTGCACTTGGCCAGGCTGATGTCTCCCCTCCCCCAGCCTCTCCCCCTTGTCACGGCAGGAATATTTGGGCAGCTGTTACCCTACATTTGTTCAAAAGGTCCCAGCTGCGAGAGCAGCTGTGTGGGACCAGCCCACACGAAAGCCTAGCCACAGCGAGTGAGGCACCTGTACTCCCAGTCACCCCTGGGTCACAGCATCAGAGAAATCCCTGGCTCTGTCCCCACAATGCTCCCTCCCACACACACACACACACACACACACACACCCAATCGTTTGCCAACCACACCCTCTCTCCACTGCCTTGGAGAATCATTGAAGATGTAAACTATCTAGTCCAAGAACATACATAGACCTCTTCTTGGGTTCTCCTTTTTAATTGTTTCCTGTGCGCATCACGTAACCTTTCTGTGCCTCAGTTTCCTCATCTGTAAAATGAGGATAAAAATACCACCTAGCTCACAGAGTTCTTGTGAGGATCAAAAGAGTTAACATATGTAAAGTGCTTTGCAACCCTCAAAGAGCTATGTAAATGTTAGCTAGCCAGCATTATTATGGCTGTTGTTGTTTTGATAATGATGATGTTTCCCTTGGGAAAGCAAGTGACTTGCCCACAGTCACTCCTGTATCTTATCAGAACAAGAATCCCCATTACCTCTCACCTGGCATATCACAGTAGCTTCCTCACTTTTCTCTCTGCCTCCAGTCTCTCCCAACTCTAATACATCATCTACCCAGGCCCTAATTTAATGTTCCTGAACCACTGTTATGATCCATGCACTCTCCTGCTCCAAAACCTCCATGGCTCCCTATTACCTGTAGAAGCAAAGCCCTCCATGATTGAGTTCTAGTCTCCCTTTCCAAAATTATTTCAGGTTTCAACCAAACTGGCCTTACCCGATGCAGAGTAGGCTCTTAATAAATGTTATTGATTGATTATGAGCTGTTTCCCCATCTCCCTGCCTTTGCCCAGGCTGTCCCTTATGCCAGGCATTCCCTCCTCAACTCCATCTCTTAGAAGCTTTAGCTACCCTTAAGGACCTACTCGGGCACCACATCTGAGTCAAGACTTTTCTGATGGCTTTGGGTGTCAATGCTTCCTTCCTCCTTGGCTTAATTCCCACCTACCAATCTGTTTACAAAGAATTATAGCACAAATTAGATTTTTTTTTGTCCTTGTATTCCCATCTCTGAGAGGCAGCCATGGCTCTGTGGACAGAGACCTGGGTTCAAGTCTGCCTCTACATATGCTGGGCTCTGAGGCACATTAATGCCAATGAGCATTGTAGAGGGAGGTCGTGCTGGTTGCATATGTGCATATGTATGTGTACATGCACATACATATCATATTGTGGCACACATGTGTGTATAGGCATGTGCACGGTATTATCAAAATGCATGTGGGTATGTGAATTTTTTTTTGCTGAGTCATTTTTCAGTCCTAAGTCTTTGTGATCCCATTTGCGGTTTTCCTGGCAAAGATACTGGAGTGGTTTGCCATTTCCTTCTCCAGCTCATTTTACAGGTGAAGAAACTAAGGCAAACAGGTGACTTGTCCAGGGTCACACAGCTAGTAAGTGTCTAAAGTCAGATTTGAACTCACAAAGATGAGTCTTGCTGACTCCAGGCCCTGGGCTCTGTGCGCTATGGCACCACCTAGCTTCACTAGGGCTGGGGGGGAGTGGGGCATGGATCCCTAGCTCTGAACGAATGCCAGGCTTGCAGTCACAAAGGCACAGGCTCAAATACTGCACAAGACCCTTAGTAGCTGTGTATGGCTAGATCAATCATTTCGCCTTTTTCAGGGTGAGGCAGTTCCCTAAGACTGATCTATTAACTGAGTCCTGTCCTGTTGAGGTCTGCACTGGTAAAGGGACTTTCCCACACCAGGCATTCCCCATGCTGAAGAAGATCAGGAAGTCTTCTGAACCCTCAGCACCTGGCCCTGGCCCTTGCATACCAGGTCCTTCAGAAATTCCTATTGAATTGGACTAAACAGAAGAACAAACAGTGGTCGATGATTACTAACCTTTCCCAGGCTTTACATTAGCCAAGTGCTTTACATATATTATCTTCTTTCATCCTTAAAGTAATCTTGCAATCTAGGGACCACATTAGAGCCCCACTTTACAGATGGGGAAACTGAGGCTCAGGAGCGGTTGACTAGAACTCCCCTGGTATCTGGCATCTTTCTGGGCATTGCAGACCATGAGGAGTCAGAGGGAACACCCCTATTCACTCCAGCCCCCACACCCCACCCCACTACTGTGCTCAACATCCCCTCAACAGTGGGACTCCCTGTTGGCTTCACATTTGTCTTTCCGGTCAGTTGTTGCCATTGAGGAGAGCCCAGCTTCTGGACAACATCCCCTGGGGGAGCCACATTCCTAACCTCCCCCCATCTCCAGCTGTTGATTCAATCAAGGAGTCTTACTCTAAATAGATACCATATGTCCTCAGAGGCAAACAGTTCAAACTTCTACCCCTGAGACCTTAAGAAGTTATGGGATGACTCTGTCTTCCCATCTCTAAAGTGGGGGTAATGATACCTGACCCGACCTGACTCATCCAGAGTTGTGAAGGTAGATTTTTCAGCTATAGCTCATATTCCTGCAACCTTATAGCAACGGATTCCAACATTTTCAGGTATGAATGTCCCCTTTTAGGAACACAGACCTAGATCTGAAAGAGACTTCACAGACCTTCTAGGGCTAGTCCAAGCCTCTTATTTTACAGATAAAGAAACTGAGTCCCAAGACCAAATGACTTGCCCAAGGTCACCTAGACAGCAATGACAGGGATAGGAACGCTTTCCACTGTACCCCAGCTACTGCATTAATTTCATGGATTCCCACCTCCCCCAACATGAAAGTGGCTGTACTATTAATATCTGTTACTTGAGAAAATTCATAATGATCATATTTGGTTCCCATATGTACTCATGAACTTCTCGTAACTGGGCACCTGGAGCCCAAATTGGAATTACTGCTAAATACATTATAAAGAGTTTTCTTCATCCTAGTCTTGGAGAATAGGTACTACCCTTATTATTAGCCCCATTTTACAGATGAGTAAATTGCTACTGAAATATAAGTTATAGATGATGAAATAGACTTCCCTCCCTTTGGTAAGGTGGAATCAGGAAGACTCATCTTTCTGGGTTCAAATCCAACCTCAGACATTTAGTAACTCTGTGACCCTGAACAAATCACTTAACCCTGTTTGCCCCAGCTTCCTCATCTGTAAAATGAGCTGGAGAAGGAACCACTCTAGTGTCTTTGCCAAGAAAACCCCAAATGGGGTTACAAAGAGTCAGACATGACTGAAACAACTAAATAACAACCCCTTGGTAGAGAGGTGGGGGATGACAAGTGAAGAATGTAGCATACATTGTCAGACAAGTTCATCTAGTCGGTCAGTTATGCTTAACTTTTTTTTTTCTTTGTAACAAGGGAAGGCTCCATGAGTGGATATTGAGAAATGACCATGATTTTTTTTTAAAAAAGTATTAATAAAACGTGTTTTAAAGATAGAAATGTAGCTTGTTAGTTTGCCAGGTGGCTGACTTACTGTCTGTTCTTGGGAGTCGGCCAATATCTGTTTTTTCCGTTTTGCTTCCTTGGACTCCTTTTCTGTTTCCCGAACCAGTTGCCTGATGAAGCCCCCCGGAATTACAGAGAAAAAGGGAGGTGGTGAGGAGGGTGGGGGGCTTTTGTCTTCTTCCCTGATCTGTTTAATAAAAAGAGAAGAGAGGCAAGATCTCAGTGGGTAATACAAATGGAAGCCACCCCCACAGAACAAAGCCCACCCTGGAGCCAGGGTGAAGGGCCAAGCGGTAGACACACGTGAACAAGGTCATGTAAGAAAGGTTATAGCAGGCGTCTTTGGCAGGGTGGGGTGTCTTCAAGGATGATACATGGCAATGGAAATCACTGGCTAAGTTGTCTAAATTGATGGATGCCCTTCACTCTTTTCCTCACTCCTTTAGTAAAAATAAGCATGATGTAAAATAGAGCCAGCACTGGACTTGCAGTCAGGAAAACACGGATTTGAATCCTACCCTGGGAACCTAATTGACATGTGACCCTGGACAAGTCACAACCTCTCTGAGTCTCAGTGTCCTCCTCTGTAAAATAGGGATATTTCACATCCCTATTTTAATTTTATTAAATGATAATAGGATATTCTTTATTAAATATTTATTAGATAATTTAAATATTTATCATTAGTATTTTCTAAATAATTTAAGCATTTATCATAAATATTTATTAAATAATTTAACCATTTATTATAAATATTTATTAAATAATTTTAATGTCTATTATAAATATTAAACCTATATTAACTAACTTAAATGTTTATTACAAATATTAAATATTTGTTAAATATTTTGAATGTTTATTATAAATATTAAATATTGGTTAAATAATTTGAATGTTTATTATACATATTAATTATTTATTAAATACTTTAACCATTTATTATGAGTATTTATTTAAAAATTTGAATGTCTATTATAAGTATTAAACATGTATTAACTAACTTAAATGTTTACTGTAAATATTACATATTTATTAAATAATCTGAATATTTATTAGAAATATTAAACATTTATTTAATGTTTTTTGATTATAATAAACTGATTATTAACTAATTATTTGATTTAAATAATAGTAGAACCCATCTCATGGGATTATTGTGAGGACCGTAGACTTAGAGCCGAAAGGGGATTTAAAGGCCATCTAGTTCAACTCCCTCATTTTACAGAAGGGAAAACTGAGGGCAAAGGAGCTAAATGCTTGCCTGATTTCACACAGGTGGTAAAAGGCAGATCGAGACTCCTTCTCCACATTTTACCACTCTACATCATCTCATTTGAGCTGGTAGGTTGGAAAGCCCTTCACAAAAGAACTAAATTAAACATCAGCTAGAAACCTAATCCCTCCCTAGTCTTATCACATATAAGAATGGATGTCATAGATCTTTGGATGCTGGAAAGTTCTAAACCAGCAGAAGTTAATGCTAGTAATAGCAATCTGACCCTCAGGATCCCTCCCTGAGGTTCTTATCTAACAGGACATAGAACATTAGAGCTAGAAGAGATTGATCTCAAATCCCTTACTTCACAAGAGAGGAAACTGAGGGCCAGGGAGAGGCCTCCACAGAGGTTACACAGCTAGACCCTGGCAGATTAGTTGGACTCAAGTCTTCTGGGGCAAGATTTGAACCCAAGTCCTCTGGCTCCAGAACCAGTGCTTGCCTCTCCAGTGTGCACTGGGCTAGTAGTCAAGGGGGATTAAGAAACCCTTACAGAGGAGCAGCTAGGTGGTGCAGTGGATAGAGCACCAGCCCTGGAGTCAGGAGGACCTGAGTTCAAATTCAGCCTCAGACACATAATACTTCCTAGCTGTGTGACTTTGGGCAAGTCACTTAATCCCAATTGCCTCGCTTAAAAAAAAAAAAAAAAACAACCCTTAGAGAAAGGTCCACTATCCACAGCCCAGCAACCATAATGCTGTAGAGGGAGCATGAATGGGGGGTGGGGGTGGGGAGTGGAAGCTTCCCAATTATCCATGGTAACAAGAGGCAGGAATAACTGAAATTAAGGCCATGGTAACTCAAAACCCATCATTTTCATTAGTTTTTTTTTTTATTTTAACCTGTCTGCCCTTCACCCCTACAAATGAGGCTGCCGAGTGATGCATTTGAGTGGGGAGGCAGCCTGCAATAGATAGTGATGAGAGCATTGTAGGAATCTGGAAGACCTGGGTGCAAATCCTGCTTCTGACACTGAGCTCAGTGACTCTGGGCAATTCACTTAGAAGCCTCAGTTTCCTCAATCTGTAAATGCAACTGAAGCTGAGATAAGGTAAGTGATTTGCCCAGGGGCACACAGACAGTATGTGTCAGTGATAGGTCTGGAACCCAAAACTACCAGACGCCAAAGCTAGCTCCATACCACACCGACCCTCTCAGTTACTATTATTAGCATCATCAACATCTTTTTTGGACTCATCTCTTATTCCATTCTCTGGCCCAAATTCTACAGGCAGTAGTAATGAGTAAGGAAAAGACAGAGGTAGGCAGCCAGAGGGGGTACAGTGGTCCTCTCTGACCCACAGTCTGGATGATCTCCCCTCCCCCCACCCCCAGAGGATTAAAGAGAAAAGGCAGGGCAGCCATGAGTCATTGTGAGGCATCTTTTCGAAGGTGGGCTTTTCCTGACCCGTTCCTGCATACAGAGGGGCAAAGACAAAAGGGCTTTGGGGCCCTAGGCCTGGCAGGATGGCAGCAATAGCAGCTTGAGAGGTCCAACAGCAAGCCAGTGACCACCAGGCAGTGACCGCCAGACAGCAACTGCCAGACATGGCGACACTTTCCTTTTGCTCCCACAGGGCGAGGCGTGATGAAATGGCCATAGTGAAGCAGGCAGATGAGATTGAGATGAGATGAGATGAGATGAGATGAGATGAGATGAGATGAGATGAGATAGGATGGAACTCCACACGAGACAACACGGAATGAGTCTTTATGGACACAGATGAGACATCAATGAGACTGTTCCTGGGACTAGACACACATTGAGACCACAATGAAAGGGAGAGAAGAGAGAGACATCATTAATAAGCAGGCAGAACCCATTCCCATTTCACTCTGCTCTGCCGATGCCTCAAACTGAGGCTAGGGGTCATAGATCTAGAAAGATGGATGGAAGGCTGGATGGGGGAAAGGCAAGGGGGAGAGGAGGAGGAGAGAGAGAGAGAGAGAGAGAGAGAGAGAGAGAG